TGATTGGTGGAGGTCTTGGTGTGGGCGGAGTTTGCCCTAAACGTGATTGGTGGAGGTCTTGGTGTGGGCGGAGTTTGCCCTAATCGTGATTGGTGGAGGTCTTGGTGTGGGCGGAGTTTGCCCTAATCGTGATTGGTGGAGGTCTTGGTGTGGGCGGAGTTTCCCTTAACCATGATTTGTCAGACTGGCTTGTCTTTGTGGAGCAACTTAAGAGGAAATAATAGAAATAATAAAATAATATGATTTATTGACTTTCGACATACAGTTTAAAACAGAACGACTCAAATAAACATTATTTTGAACATAGACATAATTTATTAACTTCAAATTTCATGCAGCTAGCAACTTCCTGTCCTAAATTATGACTATTAATYACATCTTGGGTAAACTATGCTCACAAAAGTCAAACAGACCAATCGTCTTGGGTAAACTCCTCCCACAAAGTAAGAAACTCCTTTAGTGACTTCAGAGACCCCCCTCTCAAGAAGCCGGTGGTGTTTCTGGGCGTTGTTGATGTCTGACTTTCATTTGTCTGGACTTTAGATGATGACATCTCTAAATTCCTTGCAACTGATTTGTGAACACATTTGTTCACATTTGTCCCAGTCGTGACACTCACCTGTTTCCAACGAACCTGTTCACCTGTAGAAAGCTCCAAACAGGTGTTATTTTTGCCCCTTTCCCAGTTGTTTTAGAACATGTTGCAGACATCAAACTCAAAATGAGAGAATATCTGCAAAACATCGATAAAGTTGATCAGATTGAACATTAAATATCTTGTCTTTATTGAAAAGAAACAGCCTTTATAGTCCTGCAGGTAATCCACAGAAACAACACATTGCAATGTGAAACTAGAGAATTTGCATTTCCTACGAAAATGCAAGGGTGAATGCCTGTTGCGCAAAACATAAGCTAAAAGCTAAAGGTAGCAGACTCAAGTTGAAAGTAGCACCCAGATGGTGAAATGGAAGTAAAAAATTAAAATTAGTAGGAAAAAACCCCATAAAAATCAGAGAAAGTGATAATTTCAAGTGTAATAGGTAAAACAGCCGAAGTTTTCAGTGAGACAGCTAAAAATGAGCTGAATCTTGTTGAAAGTAGCAC